TGCCCACGCTCAACCTTGCCCATTCAAACTCAGTGTTCCCTCGCTCTTGAATATCACCTATGGCCTCGTGGGAATTTTGGCGGGTAAACTATTAACTCGGGAATCACGGAAAGATATTCACCTTTAAAGGTTTCGAATTCAGCTTTCATGCGCTGGTGCGTGAAATTTTCAGCTGTTTTCCAATGTTTGAACTATTTCTGCATGGATTAAAGTACAAAGCAGTGAAAATCATTAATGGGCAATCGTTCGATGGGCTGAATTGCACAAAACGCATTATCGCACCGGCTAGTCTGGTGCGTGTTGTAATTTATTTCTTATTACTTTATCGCATTGTATTATGCATTATAAGTCTTTTCAGTTAAGCCAATTCTGGTATACAGAAGAAACGGCCATAAAACTTGCCGAAGAATGCGCATCTGCTGTTGATTGTGGCGGAAGAATTGCTTGTGTATCATGTCCAACACTTGTTGATTACCTTCTGCGAAATGAGGTGTGAAATTTTTGTCTTTTTTGTTATTTATAACTAAAAAGCTTGAAAATTACGCCACTCTTCCTCACTTTTTGGAGAACTGGAACTTATCAAACACAAATTCGATTGTGTTCCTCTCTGGGATGGGCCAGCAGCGCCAAACAAACTGCATATGTTAACACATAGATGCGATTTCAGGCCCCGTCCTTTCCCAATTTCTTAGCCAGGGATATTCATTGTTTGTATCTTTAAAATTTCTACAACGGTTATGCAGATAAAACAATGAACTCATGGAGCAAACTCGGGAAAAAGCAAAAATAATCTGTGTATTGGCATACCTCCTTCCTGAACTAAGCTGAACTTTGAGGGCAAGTTTTAAGGGTATTCGTAAAGATAGGCTGGAGTGGGGGGAATTTTTGTTTTCCTTGATTTTGGTCTAAAATCTTTTTCTAAAATCCTTTATGTATCATTGGGTGATGGGAGTTTTTTGTGCACAAAATATTGCACTGGCTACGTTGAAAATGATGAGGCTTATTTTGGTTTTGGAAATTTTTTTGGGAAAAATTGGACTTCAGGAAAAATTGAAAGTTAATTTTTGGTTTCTCTGAAAAGCAGCATTGGTTACAGAAAAGAAAAATGTAAGATTATCAGAGCATGGTTTAATCATTTTTGAAAATGAATGTTTTTAATTCTCAACCCGATTTTGTAAAATTTATCAAAAAAATAAACCTCAGGGCATGCTACGATCAGGGTTTTCGGATTTGATCGACGATTTTTGTCGAAATTTCCGAAGACTTTTATTAA